TTCGACTTACGTCGTTTTCCTGGAACCAATTACCGACGTAAGGCGAGGTATACCTGTATTCAAATACTTCTACTCCCTGGGTAATAGTTTCTCCAATAGGAGCAAATATACTTCTTTAAATAAAAAAAATTCATTTAGAAATACAAAGAGTTGAATACACAGGAAAGAATCTAATCATGATTTGATTCTCCCACCATTAGATTCAATAAATTTTATTTTCCACAAATATGAGCTATGCAGTGTCTGTACATAGGTACCCTTTTTTTGTGAAATTTTTATTAATTAATATCATCATGGAAATCAAAGTGAATATCATTACAAGAAAAATACAACTGTTTCTCAATGTGTTTTAAATTTATTCGATTAACATATTTCATTGTTTTCATCTTCGTAGAATATTAAAACATACTAACGCTAAATAACAGCATGCAAGCATATGCTTTTATTTAAGAGAAAATCTATTATTTGTACAATTTTTATATTCATTATATTTTGCAAATATAATGATAAGTGATTTTTTTTATTAATTATTTTATTTTAAAAATTTTAGGTAAGGAATCTCTGCTACATGGTGAACAAGAGAGAGAAGTTATCTCGAAGCTGGTATAAAATTAAGCAAGATATTTTTAAGAAGCAGGCGGCAATCATAAGTAACAAATCATTTCACCTTAAAGAAAACGAAATGAAAGCTGTGCTGGATGCAAATCACGGCAACACAGTGTACGATGTAATGACATCGTGTAAGAATTCACCCACTCCATCTGTTAATTCCATTCTCTCCATTCTTGATGGGACAGTCTACACGAGAAAAGATTCTCAAAACAATTTTAAGCATAAATCTCCACCTCAAAGACTTCCAAATCCCTATGCTAAGCATTATTTAAATGGTGTTTTGAAAAGATCACAAAGATCTCTAGTAGAAGAATGTGCAGAACAAGAAAATAAGAATAGGATACACAGTAATAATGAAGTTCCTTCACAAGAAAATAAAGGCATTGATGATAAATTAGCATCTCTTCACGAAACTTACAAACTAAAACCTATGGAAGTTGTTGTAGATAAGTTACCCGAATTTTATGAAAGGATAGAGCATGTACCTTACAAAATTAATTTAAAGCATATCGAGTCTTCGAAACAAATTAACTCTAAAATTATTAATAAAAAGTCAAAGTTTTTGGTAGTAGAAGACAGTGATTCGAATGATTCGGATTCAGATGACAGCAAAGACACAAGTTTTGTTTGTGCTTCGGAAGAAAATAAAAAAGAAACATTTAAAACGAATTTGGAAAATAGTTTAAGTAAAATAAAATGTGAAAACAATTATGAAAATGAAAAGAACAACAGAGTTGTACAAAATAGAGAGATTTATAAGGATACTCATAACAAACTTGATAATTATGGTAGCAGTCACTCAAATCAACAGAGGCAACTACATGTATCTAATAAATTAAAAATAGAAAGTACAAAAAACTCTGAAAAAGTGAAAGAAACAATTTTAGATTGTAAACAGAAAAGGTACAGCAAAAATCCAATCAGCAGGAATGAATCAAAACAAAAATTAGAATATAGTCATTCTTTGAGGATTGTAAAAACTGAAAAGCTGTGTGCTGAAGAAAATTTTCCAATAGTCGGTGAAAAAATGAATTGTGTGGATTCGACAGACTTGCCAAAACAGTCAAATAATACCATTCATACGCATAGAAAATACAGAGGTTTTAATAGACACAATAAATTATATAAATTATCAAATTCTCATTTGAAAAGGAACTCTTATAAATCGGAAAATATTGGGCACGTACATAACTACGGAGAAATTATTGGCGATTTTAATTTAGAGAAAGATCAGGAAAGTAATTCCTTTTGTTCTGGAAATGATCAAGATCACGGAAAAGAGTATTTGGATCATTTATCTGTAGATAACCTAGACAAGAAAGAGTCAAAAGAACTTTTAATTGACGAACTACAGTCTGTCAATAGCAACGGAGAAAATAAAGCACAGCTGTTTCGGGACTTGACGGTTAACGAAAACGGATCTGCAGAGTGTCTCTCCATTGTAAATTTCAACTATGATTGTGTCGATATAGATAACAGTTCATCCTCTAGTAGTACAAATTGTGATATAAATAACAAAAGACAATCTTCAAAGCCAAATACATGTAATAAATTTAGTCCCACTAGTGATAAATCATCGGTGTCATCAAACAAAGTTACGACACCCGCCAAAGACTCCGCTAGTAATATTGACAAAGACAAGTTGCGAGAGGAAAGTGCTAAAATTAGAGAATCTCTATTTTCTGTTAATACCTGTTCAGCTAAGTCTTTAAGCGGTTATAAAATTCCTAAAAAACTTAAAACGAACACGGAAACAACAGACGGGGGTTCGTTACAGAACAAACGGGGCAGTTCCACGGTTTCTCCCCTATCCGAAGTGTGCCAACAAACTCAAGTGGGAACTTACTCTGTGAATGGTTATCACACGGACAGGAACCAGAGGTGGCAAGGTAACAGAAACGGAAGCGGCAAAAATCACAACAGGGAGCAGAAACTTATATTAAAGTTACGAAAGGATCCTGGTTATTCCAACGCGGGAAGGTGGCACAGCAATACGAACGCCACGAACAGGACGGATGCCTTCAACGCCAATGGTTCTCCGGCCGCAGCGGAAGGAAGTCACTGTGAGGGCGAAACGACCCTGCCGGCCGAATCCCATTCCAGAACGGAGAGGGAGTTCGAAAACAGGACTAACCTCAACAACAGTGGCAAGTACCTACCACGGCTCAAGAAGTTTTCGCAGAAAGGCCAGAACGGCGACTACTGGGTAAGCTACGCATAGCGAAATCCAAATTCCTCACCAGACGGTCATTTTATACAGGTACCTTTTACAAAATTTACAATTGGTATCACGCATCACATCCAAATGCCCGGATCCATCCGATCTCATCCATCGACGGTCCCCTCTCCGGAGTCGCAAGAGTCGTTCCATCGCATCCACCCGATCAAATTTTTCTTCGACGATAACAAAACTTGTACATCTGTATATATATGCAAAGGACGAACATATCAATGTCATTTCAACAAACGTGCGGTGTGTGCCTTAGGATCGACCAATGGACTCTCCAATAGTGTTTCACTTCTTTTCTTTCTTTTGGAAGACGACAATTACGAAATTTCTTTTTTTCGAAATTTCACATATACAAAACAAAGAAATGTATTGTATAAAGAGAGAAGAAAATAAGATTGTTAGATAACGAAATTTTTATTTTTTCTCTGTTTAAAAGACGTGACGGTTAAATAATTCTTTCTTTCCTGATGAATTTCAAGGTTTATATATACACATAAATTCTGGAGACCGAATACCGGAGAAGTTTCTTCCCTGTATAAGATTTCTGTTTAAAAAATGGCGTTATAAGCGGGTGCGCAGCAAGCGAGAAAACAATTTGCATCACGCGACATTTCAGTCGACGATCCCGTTAAAACGTCGTCTGCGAGCGAGAAAGTCGCCGAAATTTTGACACGCAAACGAAGATCAGAAGAGTTAAGAGAGGTTAGCCAATAGAAACAAGCGTAACAATTTTGTTTTTCTAGCGAAAATTCAGGAACCGGTTGCGTTTGATAATCAAAATAACATGGCGGAAATTTTGGTAACGCATTTATACGGCTCCGAAAAGTAATAATAATCGTCGGTAACCGGGACCTGAAAATTTAGTCACGACGACGGTGAGGATCGATCGGGATTGATCGATCAATTAAAAATAAAATAAAATACCCATCGATCCAAGATGTGATAAAGTGCCTCATGTTCACACCCCTTTTTTTTAAATTACGTGATTTGAAGTATTGTGAAAATGTAAATATTAAGCATGTTGTAAATATTTAAAAGTGCGCGAAAATAAAAGTTGTTTTCTTTCTATTACTTTCCGATTCGTTCGGGTACTTTGCCATCCGATCAGCAGGAAGAATCGAGCATGGTTTCCACGTGCAGCAGTTACCGGCGTGACGTCACTCGGCTGGTACCAATCGGTGCTTTGTGGAAACTTTGCTTCGGGCTAACACCAAGGTAATTGTAGTGTAAACCGTAATACATTACAGTTGACGTGACGTGGAGGGTAATTTTTAAAGTAATTTATAGAAGAGGCCATCGTGCTTATCAAGAATTACTTATTTGAATTGAACATCAACAAGACAGAAGAACTCAGGAATTATAATTAGTAAATATATAGTAACGTTTCTCCTTACAATTGTTATTTCTTTCCAGGTAAGGTGTTATTTTTTCAATTCGAACGAAATCGGGTCTGTGTACGCTGCCATTTTGAATGGTAAAATGAAAGCGCCTTCCTAAACTACAGCGTGGACGATGTCACTACTGTCTTCGACACAGAGTTTTAATAATTGGCCAAGACCGGAAATGATGTAGAGTCTCTGAGGAAATAAAACATTCCCACCACCTGCCTTAGGATACGACTATGCAGACGCGTATTTAGTTGCGGGCGATATAGTTCTCGCAAAGGAAAACAATGCACAAGCGAGAAATATCGCTGGCGAGAGCGAGAGCGAATTTCTGGTTCTCGCACATATTTATCGCGTCTCGCCACATATCGCTCGCTTCTACATAGTGTCGAAGGATGATCGGATGGTGCAGACGATGAGGTCGACCTACCGCTTCAGAGACCGAGTTCGAGTTTGCGTCAGAAACCCAAGTTTTTATTAAGCTTAGTTGGTACAGTTGAAGTTTTTTATTTTATTTTTTTTAATTTTCGGCTGCAGTCCAAATTTTGAAATTTTTCTCGTCGTTACTATCGTTTACGGTAAAAACATTAATGTATCTGGCAACACTGTCGGGTTTCTTCTAGTCGAAACCAAAACGTAGTTAGAATTGTTTTTAATTATACTAATTCCCCGCTTAGGAAATATCGTAATATTAATAAAGTTTAATACAGACTATAATTTAAAAAGGGACAAATAATTTTTCCCTCTACGTGTTTTGTGTGTTATCCCGCAGAGGGCGTAGTTGCGAGTTTCGGTTTTGGCGACGAAATGTGTTAGTAGTGTCTCCGGGAATGTGTTATAAAACATTAAATGAATAGAACTGTTTATAATGGAAACGGCAGCAGCTTCCGTCTTGTCCAGGGCCGTGGATTACGACATAAAGAAGAGATATACCGAAGCTCTGGTCTGTTATCAGGAAGGAATTCAGATCATCATAGACGAACTCAAAGGCAAGTTTCAAATCCGTCAACGGGCGGGAACAAATAATTGTTCCCGCCCGTTATTTTCAAATATGGTGTATTTCGCAATAGTGTTTACAATTTTAAGAAAAATTACGCCAAAATTATTTCACTATTGATTTTGGATAAAACAAGTGTTTGGAATGTACACCCCATTTCCAAACCATAATCTGGTGTTTGATGGCCACTATTGAAGTTTTTGCGGGAATGTCGAGTGGAATGACCCACTCTGACTCTTTTGTGTGGGTTTATTTCAAACTACGATTTCTTTACGGTGACCCATAGGAAAAAATCTGGTGGGATTAGGCTGAGATTCTTTGGTCTGTAACTCCGAATGGAACTCAATTGGGATTGGGTAGTCTGCGATGTTGCCGATTGTGCAGTGTTTGCCCATTGCCGTTGGCCGGATGACCTTTCTTTGCTTGAAAGGTCGACAATGGTTTTTTGTCGACAAAACTTTGTGCTGGAGTCATCCAGCACAAAGTTTTTCATTCTGAGATGCAGGTTGCAGGCTACACTACTTTTGTAATAATTCACAATAATAATAATTGCCTTGATGCCGGCGTAATAAGAGTCCACATTTCCCCCCATTAACCGTTGTGAGCACTCGAAAATTGTAATGATGACCAACTGTATGCCTCGGAGTAACATTGGTCCTTAAGGGCTAGACTGGATCACAACCACATGACATTGATGACACTCCACTCTGCTGTAGCACGTCTCGAGGTAGCTCATTCGAATGGGTCTTCGACTACAAATGCAACCTTAAATGTAGTCATCAGAGGGCAATACTGTAAATAATTTTCAGAGTTGAACATTATATCAAGTGTTGGTGCCATTTTGAAATTCCTCATGTTGCCAGAAATGGTTTGAGTTGGAGTTAGTTTTGGTATAAGATTTCTGCTGCGTAGTTTAATAAAAACCATTATTTTTAAAACATTGTGTATATACAAATTTGCATACTTCAAATCATTTGTTCAGATATGAATTCATGATTTCTACTAATCAAGATAATTTTGAGATAACTGATGCACTATAAAATTACATTTCATCAATCAGTTGAAAGATGCCCATTAAAAAAAACTGTTTACCGTCTGAAAAATCAGTCGTTTTAAAGATTAATTATTCAAAAGTCGTCATTCAAATACATAGGATGACCAGAAGTTGTTATTATACAGAAGAGGGACAAGACCCCACCAATAACTACATCAAACAAACCAAATTACACACTGACAAAAAGCATTTTGAATTGATTTTTTTTTAATAATTAGAATAGAACAAAAATCATAATAATAAACAAATTATCTATAATACTTGGGGCCAACCCCCATGAAATAGCAGGAGATATTAGACAATGCACAATTGCTACTAGTTGTCATAGTACCACCACTACCATTGATAAATTCTTCAATGGGTTTGCGTATCTATAAATCCACTTAGTTATTTTTTTTTTATTAATATCTTCAGAACAGAGAATTAGGGGCTTTTTAAATACCTGCTATGGTTTTGGCTAGGCCCGTGACTGAATCTGATTCATCCAGGTCAACAGAGCCTTAAAAATTCTAACCAACCGATGAAAACCAAGGTTTGTCTTTATTGTCTCGACCATATAACTGTTATGCACAATTAGTGTCACTAGTTTTGCTGTTATATGGACTAATCACACTTAAACACTAAAAGTACTAGACTGTAGCATTATCAAACTTGTGCTCAGTCTTGTAGGATGTTTTTAATACTTGAATTCCTGAAGATCTGCATGGCCATGAAACTTAAGATGTGCAACCATAGAATTCCTAAAGAAACTGAGATGCTATAGGGAGGAAGTATGATTTCAGTTTGATCCATCCACATATCTGCTGTAGATTTATGGTCCTTTGTCAAGTCAAGACAAGAGCGGACGGATGGTGCTGAACTCGTTTCACATTCTTTTTGCAACTGAAACAACAGCCTATAATTTTATAAAACCAGCATTAACAAGCTTATTGCATGCTTTGACAACATTTCTTTATTACTTGTGTCTTAACATTCATTTCACTAAAGACCCAGTATGGATTTTTATATCAGGTAACCGAAAACGTTCTGTTTTTTTTTTTTTTTTTTTAAAAAAAAAAAA